AGAGAGAGAGAGAGAGAGAGAGAGAGAGAGAGAGAGAGAGAGAGAGAGAGTGAGCGAGCTCATGGTGCAGGGTTCAGGTCCAGAGAGTGCCAGCCTTGCTCTGCTCATCCTCTGCATGCCATGTTTTAAGAAGGTCATTGCTACACTGGAGAGCAGCAAGGCAGCACCTTGGACAGGAAAGCCCTACAAGTCCATGTCATGTGAGCCTCAGCTGAAGAAGTTGGAGGTGTTCAGGCTGGAGAAGAGAAGACTTAGGGCTGGGGCCCTGAGTCTTGTTTATGTCATAGACCCTTCCCTGGGCAGTCTGGAGAAACTTATGGACTCCTTCTCAGAATAAACATTTTATATGCATCAAGTGAAACGCATAAGATTACAACAGAGGATTGAAACACAGAGCTCAAAATATTAAAAAACAACAACAACATTTATGGAGCCCAAGTTAAGAACTCCTGACTTAGTGGGATGTGATTGCTAGTTTCATGCATCTGAAGGGTCGCCATGTAGGAAAGGGATTGGATCCATTCTACTTGGCCCCAGGAAGCAGAATTAGGAATGACGGGGAGAAGATGCAAAGAGACAAATCTAGGCCTGATGGAAAGGAAAAACTTCCTATCAGTGAAGCTGCTCCACAGTGGCAGGAAGTATGCTCCCTTTTGCCAGTGTTAGAGATATTGTAGAAAGGATTCCTGTCCAGGTTGGGGCTAGGAGACATGGCCCCTGAGGGCCCTCCTGACTCCAAGATCCAGTCATTATTCAGTCCAACCCTTTAATCTCTCTCTCTGAGCTTTGACTTTCAAGGAGCCTCAGAGAGGCCTCTGAGGGGCCTGGTGGCCCCTCCTCCTGGGGGCTCACTGTACTGATACCAAACTTAGTACAGATGCCAACTGCGGCTCAGAAGATCTGCAGCCTCAGCCTTCACTCATCAGTCGGATTGTGGGCATGTGCCACCAGGCCCGAATCAACCCCTTCATTTTTACAGAGAGAGGATGTCATAGAGTTAACTAGCAACACAATCTAGAGAGGCCGCTGGTCCTCTCTAGCCCCTCCTTCTTGTGGTACAGTAGAAAGAGCTCTGAATCCCAGCCCTGTGCCTGCTTCCTTTTCTGTCAAAGGAAGGAGCTGGGCAGAGTGAGCTCTCAGAGTCTGCTCTACTGCACTGTATTTACCTGGGTCACCTGGAGAATGGGGGTGCTGGTAACAATGTGGGCAGGAAGGCGCTGCATCTGACTGGGAGTACAGCGCAAATGAACTATGCCTAGAGGAAGTCCCTGGCTGAGCTCACGGCTCCCCAGGCCTGGCAGAGGCCCTGTGATTCTAGGCTGGAGCCTCTGCCGTGTGGAGCTGGGGAGAAGGGGCTGGTGCAAGCCCGCCCAAGGCACAGGGGACACGAGGCTTGGAGGCAGCAGACTCCAAGGGTGTGAAACCCCACTTTGTGGGGCTGGAGGGCTTGGGTCAGTTTCCATTACCTCTCCAGGCCGTGCTGCCATCAACCTCATGGTAGTGCTTTGTGCACCTGGAATCACTGAAGTTAACAGAGGAGAACAGTGACAATCCCCTTACTTGGCGATGGGGACTTAAAGGGTCATGTCAGAGCCCTTCCACTCCCCACCCCCAGCCTACTCACCCACACAGTTGTCACACACACTGCAGTGTGAGGTCCGGGGGGGCCGAAACATCTTGCAGGTGAAACAGTATTTTAATTTCACCACCTGCCCATTGATTGTCACTTCCTTGGTCCTCGGGGGAGGCCTGTAGGTGGAACTGCCGGTGCTGTCTGCAAGGGAAAGAGAAAGATGGGGAGACCAGAGATTAAACCAAGCCAGCAATAGGATCCCAGGGCCTATCAGGAAAAGGAGGAGCCCACAGAACCTGGGTCCCACTGACCAACAGCCAGGGCAAAATGCTACAGCCTGGGAAACACAAAGGTCACATCGGAGATCAACGATGTCATCTATTAGGCACCCGCTGCGTGCAGAGCACAGTGAATGCTAGAGAAAGATGGAAAGTGGGGCAGCTAGGTGGCGCAGTGGAGAGAGCACTGGCCCTGGAGTCAGGAGGACCTGAGTTCAAATCCGGCCTCAGACACATAACACTCACTAGCTGTGTGATCCTGGGCAAGTCACTTAACCCCAATTGTTTCACTTTAAAAAAAAAAAAAAGAAAGATGGAAAGTTAGACAAGACTTAGTCCCTGCTTTCATGAGGTTCAGTCTAGCACAGGGAAAAGACACAGACACAGACCACAGCGCACGTCACATAAATTCATTGGCAAAGTGCAAAACGTGGGAAGGAGCTCTGACAGGGAAGGTCCATACTGATGGCGAGAGTCAGGAACAGCTTCCTGGAAGGGGCAGCATTTAGGGAGCCCTTAAAGGAAGAATTCAACAGGTGAAGGGGGAATGAGGGCATTCCACGCAGAGGGCATGGCATGAACAAATGCACCAAGGCAGGAAAGTGCTGGCGCGACGGGGAGACAGTCATCCAGCACGGCTGGGGCACAGATGGCGCTGAGGAAAGTGACGAGACAAGCCTGGAAAGGCTGGCTGGTCCCAGACAGGAGGGACTCGAAGTCCAGGCCAAGGAGCTTGAAGCCTCCTTCATGGGCCCCAGATCTGTCCTGAGGAAAGGAGGGACATCCCTGGGTCTGCGTGTGAGCAGCAATTTGAAGAGCAGACTGGAATGGGGAGAGCATGGTCGTGGGCAGAGTGAGCAGGGGCTGCTGTAACAGCTCCGGCAGAGGGGACGGTGGGCAATGGGGGGGAGAGAAGGACGTGAGAGAATCTGTAGAGGCTCAGTGGTGGTGGGGAGGAGGAAAGGGGAGAGATGGTAACAAAGAGAGAGAAGTCAGAGGCTTCCATGGGACAGCTTCCCACCCAGCTCTGAGACTGTGTGATCCCATGACTCCCAAATCCACACGGAGGCAGTCAGGTGGTATTGTAAGCAGAGTGCTAGGCTTGAGTTCAAATCCAGCCTCAGACACCTACCGTGGGATCCTGGGGAAGTCACGCCCCTTCTGTCTGCCTCAGTTTCCTTCTCTGTAAAATGGGGACGATGACAGCCCTGACTTCACAAGGTTATTGCAAGTCTCTAACACACGTGATGTGTTTTGCAGACTTTAAAGCACTACATAAATGTGAACTATTATTAACACTATAATCCCCAACAGCACTCTCGTCACCACTACACACACTTCCAGGCCTGGCGGCCAGTCCCACAAAGCCGACGCGTCTCTGCGTTTCAGACTCCTCCTCTTGACGGTCACTGGCATCGCCATCCTCGGAGACCCTTGGGCCCAAGACCATGGGGTTTAGATTAGAATCCCAATAACAGGATCTCAGAACTGGAAGGGCCTTCAGGGGCCACCTGCTCCATCTCCAGCCTGAGTGAGGTTTGAGCCCCATCCCCAACTGTGCATGCAGGCCTCCGGCGACAGAAAAGCCACTAGGCCCTGTGGTGGCCCATTCCACCTGGGGACAGCTCTTAGCGTTAGCCAGTTTTTCTTCCACGTCTTCTGACTTGCTAGTTTTCATCTCTGGGACCAAGGAGAATGAGTCTAATGACTGTTCCCCCACGATAGGCCCTCAAAGACAGAATTAGGCCTGCCTGAGCCTTTTCTTCTCTCCATGATGACCATCCCCAGTTCCTTCAACCAACGTATGGCATAAGCCTATGGCTCAGTTGTCTTCCTCTGGACGTGTTCCAGCTTATCGATGACCTTAAAATGAAGACAAGAATTCCGCTGTGGGCTGAGCAGGGCAGGAGGCAGAGGGACATCCCCTCGCTCGTCCTGCTTTCTTGTACTGTGTCTCTCTCCAGGCCATCTGAGATCACAAGAGTTTTTAAAGCTGCCGTATCACTACTGATTCATCCTGAAGTTAAGAGTCTACTGAGCCCCCACATCTTTTTCAGACAAGTTCTTGCCCAGACATTAGACAATATCTAACTTGTAGGTATGAAGTTTTTTTTTTTTTTATCTCTGTTAAATTCCATCTTAGCCATGGCCAAATGGTCTAGCCTGTGAAGATCTTTTTGGATACCATACTAGTTATACCTCTCAACTTTGGGTTACCTCAAAGCTGACTGTAATAACAGCTAAGACTTACGTAAGTGCTTTAATGTTTGCAAAGATATCATACTGTCTGAGTCTCTTATGAACCCTGAGAAGTAGGTGCAGATGCTATTCAGATTTTACAGATGAGGAAACTGAGGCTAAAAGGTAAAGTGACTTGTCCAGGGTCACAAAGCTAGTAAGTACCTGAGGTGGGTTTTGACTTAGGCAGCCAAGTGGTACAGTAGATAGAGCACTAGACTTGTAGGCAGGAAGACCTGAGTTCAAATCCTGCCTGGGACAGCTACTTGGCCCTATAATCCTGGACAAAGTCATTAAACCTCTTTCAGCCTCAGTTTCCTCATCTGTAAATGAGGGTAATAACAGCACTACCCTCCCAGGGTTGTGAGGATCAAATGAGATAGAATGCCAGTGACGAAGAGGCCTTTGGAAGTCCTTCAGCCAGTTCTATCATTTTATAGATGAGCAAACAAGAGCCCTGAGAGGTGAGTGGCCTCCCTGGAGCTAGGACTCCTGTCCTGTCCAGTGCCCTTCCCTCCCATTATGCAGAGCAAGGCTGCCTCCTCCTTGGACCCCTGCCTTGTTTATACATGAAGATGCCCTTTCCACTGACTGGTGTACAAGTTTCAGGAGGGCCCAGGCTGCTACTTTTGCTTTGCATCCCCTGTGCGCAGATTCCTCAAGTCCATGCTGGTGGCGCAGTAGACACAGTACTAGGCCAGCAGTCAGGAAGACCTGAGTTCAAATCAGCTTCACTTACTAGCTGTGTGATCCTGGCTATGTCACTCAACCTCTGCCTCAGTTTTCTCAACTATAAAATGGGGATAGCATTGTTGTGAGGATCAAATGAGAGTATTTTTTTAAAGTGCTTATGATAGTGCCTGGCACATAGTAGGTGCTATATAAATATTTATTCCCTTACTCCTCCCATTCCCAATTCTTCACACTGCCCCCACCTTAATCCAGATCCTCACACAGCCACAGTAATGGTCTGGACTATTATGGCCCTAGACCAATCTCCCTTCTGCAGAGATCTGGTCATGTTCCTCCCCTGTTGCCTACTGAATCTAGGCCTTTTTCAACCAAGTCACCATAGCTTTCCAGTCACGTCCCATCAGCCTTCCCTCCACGCACCATCCAACCACAGCGGCCTGGCTACCCCAGCCCCAGAACACGGCTACCCTTGGATCTAGGGACACTGGTCTGCTGGCTCTTTCTCCTCCAGGACACTCCGTCTCTCAGCTCTGAACATTCTCTGGCTGTCCATCATGCCTGCATCGCTCTCCCCTCTGCTCCAGCTACTGACCTCCCTGGCTTCCTCCACGTCCCACTCACACCAGAAGCCTTCCCCAAGCCTCCTAATTCATTTAATTGCCTCCTATTTATCCTATCAGCTTGTTTGGACATGTTGTCTCGCCCATTAGACTGTGAGCTCTTTCAGGGCAGGCATCGTTTTTTAGCCTTTCTTTGTATCCCCAGTGCTTAGCACAGTGCCAGTATACTGTGAGTGCTTAATAAGTGCTTAACTGCTTGATCTGAAGTGCTATGGAAGAGTGTATTAAGAACAGGTACTGAGGAACCAGTGAAGGGCCTGTGCCCTGGGGTAGACTGATCAGGCGGCAGGGCCTGGTGGATGAAAAGCAATTGGTGGCACAGTAAATACAGAAGTGGGCCTGGAGGCAGGAAGGGCTGAGTTCAAATGCAGCCTCAGAAATCTCCTAGGTAGGAGACCTTGGGCAAGGCACTTCACCTCCATCTCAATGTCCTTGCCCGTAGAACAAAGGAAGCAGGCCTCCATGGCCTTTAAGGTCCCTCCCACCTCTCAAGCTACGACCCTAGGAGCCAGGAAGTAAGACCGAGGTTCCAGTCTGGCCTCTGGTATATCCTGGCTCTATGGTCCTGGGCAAATAATTGAAGGAAAGGCACCAGTCAGCATTGACAAAGGACATTCTTTCCTGGGAGCTCCATATATCATGAAATGACAGCCTGAGTTATAAAAGACCAAAACGTATTCTAAGGGCAATCCCTGACTTATACTTGACCCCATCTCTCCAAGGCTGGCCTCCATTCACTGTGATAAAGTAGAAAGCTCACTAGCTTTGGAGTCAGAGGCCCTGGGTCCAAATCCCACCCTGAGTAGGTCACCACTTCTCTGGGACCCAGGTTCCTCTTCCTTTGTTCAATGAGGGCACTAAACTCATTGACCTCTGAAGTACCCAAAGGTATGATGCCATGACCCTGTTAGTGAAACATGGGGAGGCCCAGTTTCACTCTGGGAGGTATGCTGAGTGAGGGAACATTCTGCCCCCTACCCCTGCTCCCAAAGTCGCCCAGGGCAGCTCAGGCATTCCCAGGAGGAATGTGGAATGCACCTTCCTCCAGAAACCCCATTCTAAACGATGGTTGGGTTCTGCTGTCCTCGAGTTTACTTCTGTGATGGGTTAAGTGGGCTACTGTGGGCTGGTCCTAGGAACTTAACCTCCTTTGAGAACAGAGCAAATGCCTTCTACGTTCCAAACACCCATACGCAAGCTGGGAACTGCCATTCTTTATGTCTCTCCCAGTGCCTAGCACAGTGCTCTGAACATGAGTGGGCACAGAATAGTTGCAGAATGAATGAACTTTTGTTGGCCTTCCCACGTTTCTTCCCCCGGCAGAGAGGAGCCAGCTTGGGCCTTCCTCCCCTAGGCAGTGGGTAGGTGGGTG